GGGCGCTGCGTGAGCCTCGCTGCGCAACAGCCGGGGCAGCCGCCTGCCTTCATGCGGGGTAGTAACATTAAACCTCGTTCTGCCTTTTAAACGGCTTCCTTAAACAGGAACCGTATGTTCTATTTATACAGAAAAGGCTATAAACAAGGAAGTCTTAAAAAAAAGGCTCCCGCGCAGTCAATTCTGTGAGGGTCACCCCGCCTCGGTGCCTCGGCCACAGGGTGACGCCTGCCCGGGCGTCCTCTGCCAGCCTGCAGCTGCCTTTCAGGGGACAGCCCGTGCCCCCCGGCGCACGTGGGACCTGCTCCCTGACGGCATGTGGGTGGGTCGGGACGCAGGGGCATGAGGCAGCCCCGGCCGAAGGCTGGCATGCTGCACAGGCTGCTCAGGGACAAAACCTAACAGCTCCCCAAGAAACCTTTGAGGGGGCTGCTGCAGCCCCGCGGGGTCTCCGGGTGGTTCTTTCCTTGAATCCCCCCGCTCACTGCAGACCCTGGCCCAGGGTGCCGGCAGGCGGGGGCTGCCCCTCCTCTGGAGCCAGGTCCCAGCTCCGCAGCGGGTCCGCGCACCCACGGCTGGTGCGGGAGAGCATCCCTGCACTTTGCTGAGGGTTTCCTCACTCCCAGTTTTACGAGCTGGGTAATTTTCCCAACATTGCCTAGTTTCTGGGACCTCTTGCAAGAGCGTCCATGTGAGCACGGAGTTTGTCCCATTATGTGGAGAAAGCAGGACCTTTGACAATGAACCTTGGCCAGCTTTTTAAGCTGTCCTTTGATTGCTGCCAGAGGACTTGCCTCAGAGGAAAACACGCTGTGTTGATAAGCATGCTGCCGCGCTGCGCGCCTCTCGCACAGCTGCTGGAAAGCATGTCCCCGTCACGGGAGGGAAACCATGTCACCCTCCTCTTCCTCCTCCTCCCCGGCTTGGCACAAAGCTTTAAACACGTTCTGCACCACGGGAGCCGAGGCAGAGCGGGGCTGGCAGAGCCGGGCCGTGGCTGACGGGGCCCCAGGCACTGGCGCTGCTCGGGCATCCCGTGTCGGTCACGGGGCACGGGGACACGACCATGGGAAGCGCTTGTCTGGCACACGAATGCCCACCGGCGGGATCTCATCCAAACGGCAAGAACTGACAAAACACCTTCAAGCACAGCAGGCAGCACCTGCGTGGAAGGAGGGAGGGAGGGGACGGCACTGTACGGGTCCGTGGGCTGCGGAGCCCAGAGTCCTTCAGACAGCATCACCCCTGACACCCTGCCGGGACCCCCAGCGCAGGGCTCCCCCTGCCACCACTCCCCCCGCCGGGGCGCCCCCCCAGCCCCCAGCCCCCAGCCAACTGTTGCCAACAACAGCTGTGTTTCCATCTCGTTCCACTCGGAAAATCTTGGCTCTTTAACGCTTTGGTGATCCCGGCATCAGCGCATCAGCTCCCCGGGGGCCGCTCCCACCCAGCCTTCCCTCTGGGCTGGGTCCCCATGTC